ATTTCCTTTCGCTTCAAAACTAAATTATAATATCAGCGAAAACATCTGCGACTGTTTCCAACATTCTGTTGTTGCCACAAAAGATGACTACTTCCCTCAGTGAAATAGAAAAGATTTTGAATCGTGTGCCTTTCTACCTCCAAACAGATTATAGCATCCAGCATCAGAACAGTGGGAGCAGAGGAGGGGGAGACTGTGGAACCTATGGAGATAGTGAGAGAGGAGGGGGGCGAGGAGCAGGTACAGGGTATGGAACAACAAGAGGTACCTATGGAACAGGGTGAAAATGTGCTGGAAGAGCCCATGCAAGAGGACGTGGGGGAGAACATTGCTGAAGAAAGCCTGGCTGAGGCAGAAGAGGGGGCTCAACCAGAAGAGGAGGCAAAAGAAGAAAAGAAGAGGAAACCTACAAAGAGAGGGAAAAAGAAAGGCAAGAAAACAGAGAGCCAGAAGGAAGGGAAAAAGGACGAGGCCCTCTCCACTACGATCACCAAGTTAAGAAAGTCTCTAGGCAAGAGTCCCGAGAAGAAGAAGGAAGAAAAGAAAGAGGAGAAGGAGGAGGAGAAGAAATGGTGGGTGAAGGGGACAGGCTACAGGAAGATGACTCCTCTGGAACAGCAGGTTAGTATAGAGCATCATGTTGGTGTCCCTATTTACCATGTTGGTATCCCTACTTGCATTTTCTGGAGACTGGAGCTATTGCACTTAGTATTTTATTGGCAAGTTTGTAAGTATCCTCTAGCATTCTCTGCTTTGAGCTTTGAAGTCAATGTGGTTTTAGGTATGATTACCCCACACAAAAATGATCTATTAACCTGCAACAAACAGTTAATTTGCAACGAAACTACATGTACTAGTACCTGTACTTGGCTTCACCTTGATTGAATCCATGCTGTTGTATGATGCAGGTTGTGTACATCAAGTCTGAGTACCCAGATGCACTGTTGGTGGTGGAGTGTGGATATAAGTACAGGCTGTTTGGTGATGATGCTGTGGTAAGTTTTGTATGTCTCATGTTAGACAATAGTTGTGGTCGTCGGTGAAGGTTTGACATCCAGATAATAAGATATGCCAAAAAACAAAATAAGTTTTTTGTGATAGTCTTGTCTCTATAATTTGGTTTCTCTGTCCCAACTCTTATCATTATCGTAGTGCAAGAAAAAATCTGTTTATGGCATGTGCTTGTTATGCAACAATACATTACAACAATACAAGCAGAGTAACTTAATAGCTAAATATCGTTGTCTGATTCTTCTTAAAGTGTAACATGTACTAGTTTCACTCTGTGCCAGGTCACATACACACCTTAGATTGTTTCAGTCAAAGATACTAAATCATTTTAATACAAAAGAGTGGACTTCTATTTTAATTTCTTTTCTTTTTAAATGTAAGGTTAAGCTATAAAGCTTATAAAGCTATAAGACTGGTGGTTACATATGCTCTATATACTTAATATATATATAGTTGACATATTCATCTTCTGCCATTCCAGATTGCTGCAAAAGAGCTGGGTTTTGTCAGCTACATTGACCACAACTTTATGACATGCAGTTTCCCCAACCAGAGACTGTTTGTACACGTGAGGAGGCTGGTGGCCAAGGGACACAAGGTGGGATACTATTACATACATGTATCATAGAACATCAGTGACAGTAGAAGTCTCTTTGGCATACTTGACATTTTTCATCAGGCGTAATCAGGCCTTTTAAGTCTTTGTAATCTCTAGGCAGTCATCCAGAATCAATGTAATTCGTAGTATAGTAGCCATAACATGTAATTGGTCATTTTCATATGCATCGTAATGCAACATGAAAACGTAATCCATTAAGTACTCCATGATTTAACGTAATTCATAATCAGCTCTGAGAATTCAATGTAATTCGTAATCGGCGTTGAAAATTTTGCGTGATTCGTAAAAATAGAGCATTCTACTAGTACTAGGCATCCTGAGGGTGAAATTATTGTCTGACATGTCACTGCTGAATACTGGCACGGTCATCTAAATTTATAGCTATGGGAAGGAAGGATATCCTGTTTTATGTAGAGACAGTGTTTTATGTCATATTGGTGTACATTTTTGTCAGGTTGGAGTGGTGAAACAGACAGAGACTGCCGCTCTGAAGGCAGCCGGAGACAAACCAAGGGACCTGTTCACCCGAGAGCTGTCAGCACTCTACACCAAGTCTACCATGGTTGGAGAAGATATCCTTCAGTCTGCATCTTCCGTGTGGCTTCTATGTGGCTCACCGGCTTTATTGGTGTAGATAGGCACTGCCCTATACACCATATTATAGTATGGGAAGGACTTTAACTAACATCCTTCTGAAATCACTTTTACATTCATGGTAGCAAAATTTCACAGTCTGAGAAAAATGGACGCAGGTGCAGAAGAAAGGCAGCCAGCAAATTATTTGTTTGTGGTAATGATATATTTGCGGTACAGAAGTGACCACGAAAACTGTGAATATAAAAGTACTGCGAAAATACTGATAAAGTGATTTACTGTAGTTGTGATGCTGTATTGAGATATGATATTTTCACTTGAATGTTAGACTAGACCTTGACCAGTCCCACATGTGAACCCGATCTTGACTGCTATAGAGGGAGAGGCAGACATCGCTACAGTAGCAGCCCCCAGCACCTTCCTCATGGCTGTGTGTGAACTGCCGGTACAGGACGCCATCCTGGCCAACAGAGGGGCCATTCAGATTGGAATCATGGTCAGGCTTTAATTCCTCTTCTTGCTTTGTGTTAGACTTATGTCTAGCTCATTCTGAAGCTTCTCACTTCTGAAAAACCACAGAACCCTTACAAATTTGGTGCGAAACAGCTACTTTAGCAGGGAGGAGGTTACTATAAACAATTTTATTTAATGCTTAAATGATTGAGACATGAAATTATAATGATTTGAATTGTGTCATTTTGTTTCAGTTTGGTGTACGTCACAATGTCAGGAGGTATGACCTATGAATGTGGATACTAATCTGGACATACATCAGAGGATGATATATTTCTGCTCTGCCCTGTACAAATATTCAATGTTTATGGAGCATACATTTCATTTTGCCTTTTTGGCAATGCCTCACGGGCAATTCCATTTGGTACATTATTATGTACTTATAGTATTATACTGTTAACTCCACAGGCAGTGCAGCCTTCTACAGGAGAGATCATCTATGATGGGTTTGTGGACAACAAGGCCAGGAGTGAGCTGGCCACCAGGATCTCTCACATCCAGCCTGTAGAGCTGCTCATCCCACCCAAACTGTCAGATGAGACTGAGAGACTCATCGCAGACATTACTGCCAACAGGTACTGGAAATACTGACAAATTTTTTTGTTTTATGGTTGCATTTTTTCTCATCACACCATGTGGCGTCTGTGTGTTGTAGTGGATAGAGCATCCGACTGTCAAGCAAGGGGACCTAGGTTCAATCCCCAGGGTTGGACCCTGACTTGCACCCAGACGTTGTGCCCTTGGGAAAGGCACTTTACACATACTTTCCCCCCTCAGTTAGAGGGATCCAGTTGCATTTGAATAGATTTATGGAACTTTTATCATAATCCAGAATTGTGCAGTATTGCATCGGCATTTGGAGCAATGTGAAATCACTTTGGCACAGACAATACACTGAAGTTGTTGGTAACAAATAAGTGATACATTTTTGTAATTTTCTTTCGAGAGTCACTGACAATTTTTGCTGCCTGGGACAAGAAAAATGAAGTACATTTTGTACTAGTACCTGTAGGTTGCAGTTCCAACTACATATAACTGCCAGGTGTGCTGCTTAGGAATCACTTTTCATGTAGGTCATTCAACATGTCTGGTGTAATTTCGTCTTTCAGCCCCCGCGAGGATGACAGAATGCGTCTGGAGAGGATCGCGCACAAGGCGTTTAACTACCAGCATGCGGTGGACAGGGTCGTGGAGTTCTACGGCGAGAAAACCACTGAGGAGAGCAAACAAGAGAAGACGTCACCAAAACAGGAGTCGCCGCAGCAGGAGACGCCAAAGAAGGGCAAGAAGAAGGTGAAGAGTCCTGGGGACAGCTCGGAGGAGAAGGAGACTGTTCTGGCTCAGATCTTCCAGCTGAACTTCCCCCAGGCCGTGGTGTGCTGTCTGTCGGCGCTCATCATTTACCTGAAGGACTTTGGCCTGCAGAGGGCTCTACGTATCACCAAGTAAGGGCTTATAAGGGCAATATTCACCAGATTTCTTCCCCTCGTAGACTTGTATCCATCCTATTTTAGCTCCAGTTTGCTCCTCTGAAACTTTTAACCCATGTAGAATACTTTTATGAGTGTCATGGTCTCCTCTAGTGGCATGATAACAGGGCTTGAAACAGGTATTTAGAAATCTAAAAAGTATATGACATTGGAAATACTACAACTTCACAATACCACAATCAGAGGAGTGAACTGGTACCAGAACAGCCAAATCCATTCAGATCTAGTGATCTGCCCCTCCTTTGCTCAGAATGTACAATGTATACTCTACATTCACTGGCTGGCATACAATATCATGTTTGATTTATTCAAGTTAGAGAATCATCAAGACATTGCTACATCATGTATTGAGTATGATTCAGAAGACCTCACTGACAAAGTTACAAATGTTTTGTATTGTACATTTTTCAGGAACACCCAGCCCTTCCAGAAGGAGCTGGATCACATGATCCTCAACAGCACAACTCTCAAGAACCTGGAGATTTTTGCCAACCAGGTATGACAGAGTTAAATGAATCAGATACATGTATCTATTTTTAAAATAAAGAATAATATTATGTGAATGTGTGTTACATACACAACATACCTGATTCTGATTGCAACAGTAGCCTTATATGTCTTTTGGTAGTCCTTGATTGCTGTTTAAATGTAAGTAGTGATGACATACTGTAAATCACTTTATGTTTGCGGTTTTCGTGGTCAGTTCTGTACCACAAATTTACCATTACCGCAAACAAATAATTATCCGACTTCCTTTCTTCTGCACCTGATATGACCGTGAACATATAGTTCCACAAACCTGTCTGTTTTTCTCAGACTGCAAAATTTTGCTTAATACAATTTAAAAGTGATTTACAGTGACATTTTTGGCAACACATCAGGGGGAGCTAGCTTCTGACATTGATCAGTACAAGTCAATGTTTTTGTACCCTGCTAATTTCTGTTTTACCTGTTTCCCCTTCAGACTGATGGTAATGAACGTGGCAGTCTGTTCTGGGTTCTGAACCACACCAGGACCAAGTTTGGTGCCCGCACGCTCAAGACATGGCTGGGGAAACCTCTACTGAAGCTCAGGTATGGGCACTACATTCACATTAAGGCTTTGTATATGTACAGGAAATAACTGTTACAATGGGGAGGAGGGTAGAGCGCTCGCCTTTCATTTGGAAGGTCGTGAATTCGATCACCAGCTGAGTCATACCAAAGATTCTAAAAATGGTACATACTGCTTTCTCGGCTCAACACTCAGCTGATAACATTATTTTGGGAAGTCTGTACCGTTTCTGTGAATCCAGCCATGGGCATGCCACTGATAACTGCTGTCTAATGTTCCAGTGAGATCGAGCAGAGACAGGAGGCGGTGACAGAGATCACCCAGGACAGACTGGAGGTCCTGAGGAAGGCTGAAGTCATGCTGGGCAAACTGCCTGACCTGGAGAGGGGGCTGGCCTCCATCTATCACAAAAAGGTAGGAGGGCAACACAACATCTAGACATAATACCCTGGATGTCAACATGCAGCATTAGGTCTAGGCTGCTTCCTATGTCACTTCTCACAACTGTTGGGGAAAAAATGACCATAATCTGGATGGCATCTAGACTATAGTAACTGTTGATTTTGAAATGAAGTGTTCTTCATGCTTATCGAAGTCAAAGGGCCTTTAACATGTAGCCATAAGGCATAATAGCTGGGATGTCAACAGCATTAGGTCTGGGCTGCCTTCTAACTCACTGGATCGCATCTAGGCTATGGTCACTGTTGATTTTTAAGTTTTGGGCAACATTCTTAAAGTTCATGGTTTTCCAGGTCACCTCTCATCACACCACAAAGTACATGTTCTGTTTTCTAGTATGTTACTTCTGTTGGAAGTAGAAACTTACCTGTTTCATACACACAACTGAAACCCCATTATTTTTGCCCAGTGTTCCACGGCTGAGTTTTACAGTATTGTGAGCGCGCTGGACAAAGTGGCAGTGGAACTACACGGCTACCAGAGCATTGCAGACAACCAGCTCAAGTCTAACCTGCTGAAGACCATCCTGATCGAGGTGCCGGCCTTCCTGGACGGGACCGCAAAGTTCCTGTCCCTGGTCAAGGAGAAGGCTGCAAAGTAAGGAGTTAAACCTTCTTTCTGCTGAGGAAGCCACTTGGCGCTGAGGTTTTAGCTGCAAAGGGAAGGCCATGCTTGGGGGAAGCCACACCCCATACACGTAGAGAACACACCACACATATGAATGACACCATATCCTTACGATTAAGCCCCAATAATTATACAATTCAGCCCTTGGCTGCAAGGAGAGAGTAGCCGGTCCACCCTATAACAAATTGATCATTCTATTCTGTTGACTGTATAGGCTGGGTATGAAGAATGACCTGTTTGAGGATTGGAGTCAGTTCCCTGCCGTCATGAAGACTAAAGAGGAGATAGATGTGGTGACGGCCGCTCTGCGTGACCACCGGAGGGAGATCCGCCTCACGCTGAAGAACCCATCACAGGACTACGTCATGGTGGGAGGGGTGGAGGTCAGTACGGACAGAAACATGATTATACGCAACAGAGGCTAGTTGTTTACATCAAGTATATGATGTGTACTACTGCACGTTTGTCTAATTGCAACTCACAATGTGTAAAGATGAGTAATACTCAACCAAAAATATTCACCAGTGCCAATATTTTTGTAGTCTATATCTTTCCATGGGACTGCCGTAACATCGGCAACTGACAGAATTCCTTTGGTTTTGAAACAGAACTGTTAAGTGCATTCATGTACGTGTACCAACCTGATGAAACTATTCGCAGATGATGTCAAAATGATTGTATGCTTGTAGAACAATGTATCTACTTTTATTTCTACATAAAAGACACCAGTCTACACAAAAGACTACAGTTTACACTTAAGATTTTCCAATGATGATGTGAGAGATTTTTCTGAGTTTTCTGTCATGCCTCGTTCACAGTTTCTTGTGGAAGTCAGGAACAATCTCCTGGAGCTGGTCCCACAAGACTGGACCAAAGTCAGCGCGTGAGTTGTTTTATTTTGTTTCAGGAGTCTTTCACTAAAATATCATTTCTGTTAATGCATTGCATGATGTTTCCTGGACATGTACATCATTATAACTTTTGGAACAAAATTTATGCATGTTTCCAAGTTTGTGTGTATTCTATTGCTGAGGTCACAATCTATGAATTTGTTTTTTTTTTAAGTTGATTGGCAGCAGTTCATGTTTCTAAAGAGTGTACTTGGTACATGTATGATACTGAATGTTCCAGATTCTTCTGAAGTGTTCTCATCTTATTTTGTGACTTTAGAAGTTCAGATCACCATTTAAAAGATAATGTTCTGTGCTTGTGTATGCATGCTTGTTTGTGAACTGTTCTTTTGACCTAGTGATTTTAGATTTGAAACTGAAGTGTAACAACCGTGATACTGTGTGTAGAAATGACTGTCTCTGTTTATTTGTTTGTGCCCTTCAGTACGAAGACTGCCACCCGGTTCCACACCCCAGTAGCCCGGGAGATGTACGCCATGTTACAGAGGCTGAGAGAACAACTCACTCTGGACTGTCAGCAAGCCTGGCTCAACTTTGTCGAGTAAGTTAGGACTACAGACACTCAGACACTACATTCCTCACGTTACTGCTTACTGCTTTGTGTAACTGGTGTTAAAACTGAGGCATGGAAGTTCATCATAAGTAATCATGTGTATGGGCATTGAATTCAGCAGAATCTTTGATTTGAGATCCTCGCTGAGATATTGAAAGTTCAAAGAAATATGATTGAATTTTTATTCTGTTCCTGTCATCAATTACAGATCTTTGTACATGTACTTGTACGCACTATGTAGCCCTTACATGTAGTTATGACTGTGGATTGTATGTCCAAACTGTTGACATGAATATTGTGTTTCTGCAACAGAATAAAATCTCCTGTGCAGATAACATTGTTGCTCCCCTCCCTCCCCACAGTACCTTCTGTGAAAACTACTACCAGTACAAGAAGGCTGTGGACCACCTGGCAACTCTGGACTGCCTCTTCTCCCTGGCCAATGTGGCTAAACAAGATGGATACTGCAGGTATGGGCACAGACAGATCTCATTATAATAAGTATGATGAATAAAATAGTGGAATATTTAGTTACAGTAACTGTAGGATTTAGATACTTGAAGATATGGTAATGTAAGGTAGAAGGGGGCTTAAAAATTATCCGTTCATAATATTTGGTGTAAAATAGTTTTTGTTCTATAGTTACAAAATTCTCATCTTGATGTGTTTGCCTTTGTAGAGAAAGAACAGATTAGAACATACTCTGAAATCAATCCTGACTGAAAAAAACTAAAAGTTCTCATTGTTTTCATCAGTGTCATTAGTCCAACTTAGAAGATGTTGAAAACGATTTTGCAAAACAGACAATAACCATGTTGTTACTTCAACCTGCCCATCATTGAACAAGTCTTTATTTTTATAATAGTCAGATTGACCTGGACATCAACATTAAACTGATTGTTTTGATTTCAGGCCGTTTTTCATTGATGGTGGAACCCTGATCCACATCCAGAATGGCCGCCACCCCGTCATTGATGTGTTACTGGACGAGCAGGAGCAGTTTGTGCCCAACTCCACTCAGATGGACGTAAGAATAACTTCTCTGGTGTTCCCTTGTACATGTACACATCACTGTGGTGTGTTCTTACATCTACATGATATTAGATGGTGCAGTGCCATCGATTATTTGTTACTATGTACTAGTATATATGTTTTAAGACTTTGGGCACTGTTAGCATCAAACCTCTGCATGTACAAGAACCTAATACACTAAACCAAGAACAGTTGGTGTGACCTGGTGTGCATGGCTAAATATGCAAGCTGTAGCAAGGTCACATTGCACTTTCTGGCTATTGTGTTTCGCCTCAGTAAGCTGCTTTTTCATTCTATCACATTGTCACATTAAGAGATAGTGAATGATGCATATTAACACTACAATGATTATTGCTGTATCGTGGGGAACAACAATTGAGAGGGACCTTCAAACAGTAAATCAGTAAATCTGAACTGGGAGGGTGTAGAGGGACTGGCCTTGAACTTGGAACCCTCTTTCAGAAGACACAGGAGCCCCTAATGACATGATACTGTCAATCTGTTAATGCTAAAGTGATCAAATGTTTTTAGACAGCTGTTCATACTGTAAACTACAACACAATTCAGGATGCACTCCTGCAATGTTGTTCTTAGTAAATAAAGTTTTGAAAGTTTCTGAAACTAAGTCTAACTCTAAGATTGTCAGTATCATGCCATAGCAGAAATGATAACCATTGTTGTCTGTTAATTTTTGGCCAGGGTGATGGGAAGAGATGCATGGTGATCTCTGGTCCCAACATGGGAGGCAAGTCCTCCTACATCCGGCAGGTGGCGCTCATTGTGATCATGGCCCAGGTGGGCTGCTACGTTCCCGCTGAGTCTGCCTCACTGGGCATTGTGGACGCTGTCATGTCAAGGTATATATGGCCAAGGGTTCAAATAAAATTTTACAGTGAAATACACTGGAAAAGCAGAAATATGTACATTGTATATGGAAAATCTACATCATACCAAAATCCTCTCCTAAAATCCTATGACATTGAATACTGGGGTAATATGCATATGCTGCAGCTGTGGTGCCAATTGTGATCATGTGCACTGCACCATCATGGGAACAGGCCAAACTCAATGCGCTCACAAACATCATCCATAAAAATTACTTGGTGTAGTCTACATGTAAGGGATAGTCCAGAGAAATTTCTTAGTAAAGGCTTGTTGTCCCTGCAGGATGGGAGCGAGTGACGACATCGCGCACGGCCGCAGCACCTTCATGGTGGAGCTGCAGGAGGCTGCAGAGATCCTGAACCACGCCACGTCGCGCTCCCTGGTCATCCTGGACGAGCTGGGCCGCGGCACCAGCACTCACGACGGCGTTGCCATCGCCTACGCTACCCTGCAGCATCTCGTCACAGAGGTGGGTGTTCTAACTGTGAGACTTTCTCTCAAAACCATCATCTAACAAGAATGAAGGGACTCTTTTTACACAACCAAGTGTTTTATTCAGCAGGCATTTTGGGTGACCGTCTGTCACCTTCCTCAGGGCAATTCTGACTGGTTGACATTACACAGCGCAGGTGATGCTGCAATAAATGCGTTCCCAAACCCAAAAATATTTACATATCTACACAGTTACAGGGAACAGCATCAACAATGCGGTCCCAAATGCTTGCAAAAGATTGGGATATTCTGAGTCTTGAGAGAAAGCAATTTTTTTCGCCATTTGGATAGAATGGTCAACTTTTGTTCGCAGTTGGTTTCTGATATCTTCAAATTGTGAATTATACACTATAAAGTCTTGAATTATGTGCATGTACGTGAAGGTTTGACCTGTAGTTTTTCTTGTGTTTTTAGGTGAAGAGTCTAACCCTGTTTGTGACCCACTTCCCACCCCTGGGTGAGCTGGAGGCTCTATACCCAGAGTCCATGTGTAACTACCACATGGCCTTCCTGGTCATCAACCAGGGACAAGGTAAGCATAACTCCTACTCACTCACTCACTATCCTGGTTTAGATTATTCTGCTGCCGGTTTCCCTGTCCCAGGGGTGGGCAGCAGACGGCTGTTCTGGACACCTCGCCTCCAGCTGGCTCTGTCCTGTGGGTCTGTGCTAGACAGACCACACTCCTTAATATCCCTCTGGAGACACTCCACCCAGGTTTTTCTCGGCCTGCCGCGGCCTCTGCTGCCTGGCAACTTGAAGTCCACGATGGTGTTGATGCAGCCAATGGCACGCTTAACGTGCCCGTACCATCGGAGGCGGCGTGACTGCACAACAGACTTGATGTCTTCCAGGCCAAGCTTAGCAAGCAAGGTTGCAGAAGGTGTCATGTCCTGAGGTTTAACACCACAGATCCATCTGACCATGGATCTGTCATTGCGGCGCAACCGTTGGAGTTCTGGAGCAGTAGGGGCCCATGTCTCACTCCCATGCAGCATGGCTGATCGTACACAGGAGCTGAACACCTTGCCACGGGTTTTGAGGGAAAGGTGCCTGGAGGTTAGGATCGGCAGCAGCTTGTGTCATATTGCCCCATTAAAAACCAAAAATCTTCAATATGCTCCTGTCATGCTTTACTCAGATATCAGTGTACGTCGGAAAATTCATATCCAGATTGGTACAAAAACGACAGTGTAGAAAAGTGTTTATAGTCAAATTTAAGCTTTGAATGGATTGTCATTATTCTGAGATGCAACTGTCTGCACCCTCTGATTTAAGTAGTTGAGGTTACATACACTCGAACATTGGAAATAAATTGAAGTGATAAGGGAAATTGATTTGACTACAGTATATGTTGTTGTGTATTGTGTGTAACAATAGTAACAATGCTGTCACTTGAAAATCTGTGGCTATGAAATGCTTTAAACTAAACCCTTCACATACCTTCAATTTTCATAAACAGACTTTATTCAATTCCAGAAATGATAAGTGATCAACCAGAAGGTAGCAAGACTGAGGCAAACAGACCCAAGGCCCCTCTACCTGAGGTGGTGACGATTCCTGTACCAGCTGGTGCCCTCCACTGGCAGCTCACAGTTACGGTCTCAACGTGGCACAGCTGG